TCTCGTAGATGACATGGAGAACGGAAAGAAAAAATTTTGCGTTCTGATATCTTCCTACATGATACAAATCATCTGTGTGTGCACATGAACGAGTGTATTCTTCTTTTCGAAATTTTTTTTATCGCACTGAACGAATGAATATATAACTCGTGTTCAGCTGATTATCGAGAGCAGAACGCAAGAGAGAGCGAAATCGAGATTTTTTTCGAGTTGGTGCAGAACGAAAGAAAATTTCAGTAACGAAAGGGTTAAACCAAATAAATGACCTAGTTCATGTAGAAGAATCTTTACACAACGTCGAATCATTATTACACGAGGTTCATCAGTCAATGGAGATGAGAATAACGTTTGTGGTGATGTAGGATATAATGGATCTAGGCGTGCAAATGAATAAACACCAAGACTATCTACTATTCGTGCTTGTCCATAAACCCAATCCTCAACCTCATCGACATAAATATCAGCCATGGTTATAGCAACACATACAAGTTCTCATCTTGAATTACGTTTATGACGTGTTCGAGATAGGTATTTATAAAAGCCAGCTGTTTGATATTGTCTTATACCATCTTTTTCTCGATATTTCATGTCTTTCGAAAAGTCGATAGTTGATAATAATTCAACTTCACATCGAGGAAAAAATACACGGACAAATTCAATGATTACATTGAATGATATAACTCTGAAATTTCATATTCATAATTCATGTGAAAAAAACAATAAAATTTAATTTTACCGTGGATGATCAAAGCTACCAAATGGTTGAATATAAATAGTTTTGTGACTATTATGCAAAAAAAAAGAAATCTGCTTCGTGAAAGGAAAAATAAACTAACGAAACTTCATTTACGTTGCATGAGGAACAGCTTTTGATATATTACGTTCAAATGATTTCATAGTTTGTCCTTTTTCTTTATGACTTCTCAACCAATCATCGTCACTAGGTTTTGGCACTGGCTGAAAACTCTCGTTCAGCTTACTGGTTACAGCTATTTGCATGTCTCTTGGTAACTACAACAACAATAATCAATGATGTATAAGGCAATGAAATTTTGTGTACATCAGGGGTCATTCATATAGGATACCAAGACAGTCATAATGCATACCTCCTTTTGAACAATTTCTTAAGATATGGAAAGTACATAGGGCAGTCAAAAAGTTCTGCAACTCAGGACAAATTATTCAATAGAAAGACATTCCATTCCTCTCTCTACAGCAAATGTTAGAAAGAGTCACCGTGATGTTCGATACCAAGTTCAATTCAAGTCATCGGAGGATATCAAGTTGAGTCCTTGGTTATTGTTTGGTTAAACTTGTTACATGTAGATATTTATCTAGTGTATCTTTAAGGTAACTGAGCAACCCAAAATCTGAAAGAGCAATGTCAGGCGAAAGTAGCGAATAAGCCATAAGTTCATTATTTTTTCCTTAAGATAATTAATGGCTATAACTTTTATATATGGTTGACATTGTGATAGTGAAACTTACTACCGATGGTTTCTGATGATGGCTTTTTGTTTAATAACTTTTTATATAATGGTCTTAAACATTCATTACGATAGTGGATAGCCTTAATAGATACCCCAGAAGGTACCTGATCAATAAGTAATCGTTCAGTTGTTATGAAAGAGATGACACATTATGTTTTCTTTTAATGGCAGGTGAATGGGCTCTCTTTCCTTCTGCTATTTACAATTTTGGTTGCTGCTTCCATCCAATCTTGCAAGAATAAATCCACATCTCATCACCAGTGATCATCTAACATAATTACCCATGCATCACTTTTAAGCTTGTCTAAGTTTTCAATACTTAAAAAACAAATTTAACTAAAGTAATAACCAAGGACCCAGCTTGATACCCTCCGATGAATACGAAAAGACATTTCAAAATTGAATTGAATTTGGTATCTAACATCATGGTTACTCCTTCTAACATTTACTGTAGAGAGAGAAATGGAATGTCTTTCTATTGAATAATTTGTCCTGAGTTGAAGAACTTTTTGACTGCCCTATGTAGATTGAATGAATCTGTTGAACATAAGTATTATTTTTTATTGTGTTAAAATCAAATAAATACTCAAAAAATACTTTACAAATAGTTAGATTTATATTTGTTGTTTATGAAATTTGTATTTACTCATTTTCATTTTTGATGTATTTATTTAAAAAGACAGAAGCAATACATGCGAGTAAGTGGACTCTTCGTAGAAAGTTGTTTTTGTTCGTTAGACTTCTTTTATGGATAACTTATTAGACCTGTTTAATATTACCAAGAGCTTCAGCAATAGATTTCGTATCGGGAGGTATAAAATCCATATCAACGGTAATGCAAAAAATTAATTAAAAATTGAAATTTTACAATAGAATAGAGCTTGAATGGAATAGTTTAAATAGTATTTCATGAGTCAACACATCAATGATGATTAACTTCATATGAGTCTACCAATCCAATGAATTTTTCTTTGATTTATTTGAAACATTATATACGTAAAAGGATGTGGTAAGACAAGAGCGGTCTCTAGCGAAAAACTTGACTGGCAAAACTTCGTACAAATAGTCATATACAACGGAATCTTCGGTAACATCATAAAAATTTAATTGGTTATGTCTTTAGTACAAAAGAAAGAAATTAAGTTTCAAAGTTTGTTTTAAGTATTCGCAGCGTATAAGTGAATTTTAGAACGAAAACTAAAACAAACGACACGGTTTTGATCTATTATTTTTCATCTTTAAACCATATCTACTCATACCAAAAGCTATATTTACAAATAAAATACTTATTCTTGTAATAGTTGAAATCGGACTAATAAAGATCAAATTCTGACTTTCTATAGATTCAAGACGTGAGAATAAACACGATGAATTCATGCAATCTCTAGTTGGAATATTTCCATGTTGTAGTATTATTCATGAGTAATGTATGCAAACAGGTTACTAATACCTCTGAAATGAGTAACAAGAATCGATTTGCACTGAAAAACAATTTAAGCCCAAAACTTGTGTTATTTAAATGATGAATAATGCTATTATGCAACATGTATAGAATGGTCTTTGATGAAGATTCAGAATGATGATATTTGTGAAAAGTGGAGCGAAGTAGTGAGCATCGTATTGATGAATGTCGGATTAACGTCATAAGAAATCGCTGACTTGCAATGCTGAATATTTCTTGTACACCTGGTTTCCATCAAAAAAAAAGAAAATAAAAGAACAACTTGATACAAAAACATCAATTGTAATCTCATATAGAAATCATTCTTCCTATATCTAAATTTCCTTAAAGAAGAGGTGTGAATTTTTTGAAAGTAATTTTTCAGAGGAAGCAGATGATTTTATCCGTTATCAGTTTAACTTTTTATTAATTGAATATAGTTATCTCACTTTTGTAAAACATTTTGATCTACTTCATAGCATTTATCTTAACTTTTCTACCAATGCAAAAACTTTTTCACTACGATTTAGGTACATATTGGAATTTAAAACACATGAAAGTTGCATAAAATTTTTTAAATATGGTAGCACTGTCGCGAAGAAGCTATGTTTAAGTTTTCAGCCTAATACTATGGCGTTTGAGTAGTATAATCTGTGTGTGTAAAAA